GCGGAGCCAAAAGGAGAGGTGGGGACAGGGAGGAGCAGCGGGCGCGCTGGAGGGAGTTGCCTACGGTCGAAATCGATCGTCAGGATGTGGAACTTTCCCGAGGCTGCCGTGGCTGCCTTGCCTCCTCGGTCCATCCTGAATGCCTTTCGATGGCCAGCCCCTCTCGACAAGCTTCGACACGAGCGTCCAAGCGGCTTGCATCCCTATCAATCGCGCATCCTTGCTAGAAGTTCTGGCTGTGCAGGCAGAGAGAGAAGGAGAGAAACAGCGAGAAAGAGAGAGAGAGAGAGAGAGAGAGAACGAGGGTGCAGGGTATACAGCTGGAGGGGCACGCGGGCAAACCGAGGCCAAGACGAAGCACCCGATGCTCATGTACGAGGCAAAGCTCCTCAAGCACCTCCAGGCGGCCCAGAGGGCGGCGGGGTGTGGGGGGCGGGGCCGAAGACCAGGAGGCCAGGATTGAGTCGCGCCTGTCCCTCTGCAGGGGGAACCTTCAAAAATAGTAAAACAAAATACTCAGGGGACTATTTTTCGAGTATTTCTGAGCACTTTTGAATGTTTTTGGTGTGTTTTTTATTTTTCGTCGAGAATCCCCCTGTAGGGGGACACGCTCGACTCAATGCCAAGAGTCGGTACGTTCGAACTGGGTATGGAAACCGCTGGGACGAAGGCCGACAGCATGATCTGCCCATTTTGAACTGGGCTTGCCGCCGGTGTCGCCGCGGGCGTGTTCCATATGAGACAAACATCGCTCTTCCTGACAGCGACCGCTGTAGGTGTTGGACAAAGTTTGCAGTCAGGCATCGCACCCGTATTTTTCGAACCGATCTGGGGGGTGCCAGCAGGAGGCCAGGGCGTACCAAATTTGTGCTCTGCCAGGTCCAGCGGGAGAGCCCTGAGGTCCGCGCGTTGTACACAAAATGACGACGGGAGGTTGTTGTGGTTTGCGGCCTCGGGGGCCATCGCTGGGCCCCAGGCTGTCAAACAAACGACTCAGGAAGAAAAGCCGATCCCGGGGACAGGGTCCAGACCTACGGGGGTCCACGTTGCGAAACATACACGACGTCGGATAGTTGAATTTTTGGGAAGACGAGGGATGGCCGCTTGCCTCGCGAGATGTCGTCGGTGGTGCTCTTGAACGACTGTGAATTATCGTTATGTATGTTATGTGTAGTGGTGTGTATCTGTGTATTGTGAAGCATAGTTAGATGTATGCTCTATGCTTAGGTATATGGATTTGTACATGTATATGCTATATTATATGTATATGTACATGTATATGCACATTTCAATATATCTCGAAACACCTATATGTACACATGTATATTAACATAGGTTCTTATTGTTATTAGTAGCATCATGATTATTATTAGTATCTTTATGTGCATTATTATTTTTCATTATATATATATACATATATATATATATATATATATATATATATATATTCGTATTCACACACATAGACATATGCAGATGAGGCGTTCCAGGAAGGGCGTCGGCCGCCTTCAGGTATCGACATTGTCACCTTTCCCTCGGCGGAAGGTTCGCGGAAGGCGGCGGAGGTAAACCGGGGGCGGTTCCGTTGGCGAAAGGAGGCGGGAAGCCGGCCGAAGCCAGCGGAAGTAAAACGCATGTCCCAAGGAGATAACAACCTTTGGGTATCAGTGTTTCCGAAACCCGCCACAGCTGTGTGCATATGTGTATATATATATATACATATGTGTGTAGGTCGATGTGCATATATATATATATATGTGTGTGTATGCACATCTGTCCCTGTCAGAAGAGGACAGGACGCTCCAGGGCTGGCTTGCAGCCGGATATTCAGTGCACGCGCGTCTTGTTACTGTCTAGCATGTCAAGCCTCAATCGTGGAGATGTTTACAACCCCTGAGGCGAGAGCTGAGGAGGTGTGGAGAAGGATGCAGGCACAGGGTGAAGAGAAGGAGCAGCAGGATGAGGAGGAGGAGGAGGAGGAGGAAGAGGAGGAGGAGGAGGGGGAGAACGAGGCGCGGAAGGGGGTGGAGGAGGGGGAAGAGAGGAGGAGGAGGATGAGGAGGAGGCGGAGGAGGAGGAGGGGAAAGAGGAGGAGGAGGAGCAGAAAGATGAGACACAGATTTGAGCTGTGAAGGGAGGCGACCTCTTTGGACATGCAGGGAAAAAGGGAAGCGACCCCAACCAAGGGGCTCCTGGCTGGCGCTTGAAGACGTCACTCCTGGAGTGCTGCTGCTGACGCTGCTGCTGCTGCTGCGGCCTCGCGAGCGGCCTGGCCCAGCACGACGCCCTCCTCTCACGAGAGCCGGACAAGATGTAAGCCTCTCTCAGGAGCGAGGGTCCTGATGCAAAGCCTCACGAACCATACACTTGGATGTGGGGAGAGAGCTCTGGCAACCAATTTCCCATCTGCATCTGGACGTCCAATCATCCTCCTCGCCCACTTGCGTAAGTTGTCTCCAAGGTGGTCCCTCCTCAAGCTTTAGCAAGCTGGGCAGCAACA